AGAGAAGCAGCAGGCATTTCCTATTTTGCAATGTTTCAAAACAGATTTTCAAATGGATTTCACCAACTAGATCATTTGCAGTGGAAGGCTAACATGGCAGAAAGCATACAGAGCTGGAGTGCATCTTGTTCCTGTCCTTGTCATTAATTTCACTGGATCTTGGGTATGACACCAAACCTCCCTCATCAACAAACTGAGACTGCTGGTCTTGAAGGCTCCAACCAGAGAGGATATAAAGACATTTAGTTTAGCTTCAAATTATTTTAATTGTTTTCTAACATTTAATACATAGGAGATTCAAATAAAATATTGAAGATAAACTTTTGGGGACACCAAGATGAGGAACAAATGGATCAGTTTTCAATAGGCCTTTCCACCTTCTAAAATACTAGATAACTTATTTATTAGTTTTGTAGCCTATTGTCTACTTCCTTCCCTATGGGCCCTCTATACCTTCATCCTTCCACATCCCAAGAAAGAAAACTCTATGACAACAGTGATATATTTTTTTCTCATATTATAAACACAGTTATACCTTGGTATTCACTGGGGATTGGTTTCAGATACCAAAATCTGTGGATGTCCAAATCCCTAATATAAAATGACCTCGTATTTGCATATAAACCTATTCACTAACCCCTATATTTTAAATCATTTCTAGACTACTTATAATACTTAATATAATATAAATGTTGTTCTAATAGTAGTTGCTATACTATATTATTTAGGGAATACTGATCAAAAGAGTACACATGTTCATTACAATTCAGATGAAATTTTTAAACAATGTTTTTGAACTACAATTGGCTAAATCTGAGGATGTGGAATCTGGAGATAAAGAGGGGAGACTGTGTAATCAAATAGAGATTTAATAATAATGTTGGGAAAAGGTTCACAAGGAACCTGAATGTATCAGTGCATCCAACTGTCAGCTGTTTGCTTCACTTATAATGCTTAAAAAAACCAGCATGGCATGGTTAGCTAAAGGCATGTGAAGTTCATTATATGGAATGTTCCATATTACTATAACTTTAAATATGGCAGATTGATTTCTCTGGTGTAAAAAGCAGGCCTTAAAACAGATGAAATTTAATCTCGCACCAATTATATTAGTTTCAACAGCTGTCTTTGTAGTTATCATACTCTCCTATACTTCTTTTAATAAATGCTCCTGGATGTCTCTCAGTGTGCTTTACCAGCCTTTAATTTTCCAGGCTGTTGAGAAAGAAATGACAGGAAGCATTTGTTGGAAGTACTCAGATGTGACTGTGCATTTGTGGGGATTTGTTAACTGATGTTTAAGTTGTTGTATTCCTCATAAACAAGTCTGAGTGACAGGTTTTAATGGTGATCTTCCAAAACAAATGTGAGTCATAACCATTAGTGTAGTACGGGACAAAGCTAACAACTCTTATTCTGTGCAACCTATGAGTACCTCTGGAACATGAAATAGGTCAAATTGCAGAGGAGGCTTATGGGGAAAATGCTCCAGCCTTTAATGTAAATGCAGCTCCATCAAGCATATGGGCTTTATGTGAAACTTCCTTCTTAAGGCATGCTTAATGTAGGACAGAGTGGAACAAAGTTTGGAAATTGTGGTACTTTACTGATGGTCAATCCAATCGCCTTAGAATTAGCAGATAATGACTTAGGCAGAATTATGAATGATTCTGATATCTGACATCATATACATATATGATATCAGATTCAGAGTTTAAAAACAGGTGTTCACGATGATCTGAATATTTCTTTTAGAATCAACAGAATTAAAACAAGAATTCTTTTATCTCAACAGGATTGAGTTTTTCCTTTGACCTAGTATTATTTCCTAATGTCTCTGATATTTATTTCTTTACATAAGGAAATCTGGATTGGATTTTTGTTTTTTAAATCATTTTTGTTTGTTATCATTGGACAAGATATTCTTTTCTAAAAGACAGGAGAAAATAACAGCTGTCTGTGACAACTTCAAGCCCAAAGTTGCTCATTCAGATTTGACACCAGTTTAAGTGTGGTACTGAAAAATAATACTTTAAGCTGTGTTAAGCATGTACCTTAAATACTTCTGGCAAAATGTTATGAATATATGGCTTTTTATGAAAGAACATTAGTCATAATTGGTCAGTTGCTAATTCCTACTACAACTTCAGCTGTATGGTTCAACTGGTTTGCTATGGCCTGGTTCAGAGACAGCCTTTCCATTCTTGGGACTCCTACAACATGTTATGCATGTTATATACATACATTCACGATGTCATATCTCACATGATCTCTCTTTTTTTTCTCACCACTTTGTTTACATAGAAACCTTTAAGCTTCTCAAGGTTAACTGATTTATGGACCCCTAGCACTGGTTTAAAAAGTTTCAGATGAATGAATGAACAACTGAACCAGTTAAAATATTGTACTCTAACTACGTACATGTATAAATATCTGTTTTACCTTTAAAAGTACTTAAACATGTTTTTCTAATTTGGTTCCCACAACAATCATGGGTACAGTCAACTCAACATATAGCCATTGTATCTAGGCCAACAGTTCTCAAATGGAATGTCTTTGACCTCCCGCAGACATTTAGCAATGTCTGGAGACACGCTGGAGGGGGGTTACTACTGATATCACATGGGTAGAGGTCCTGGATCTATTAAACATGCTACAATGTACAGAGCACCTTCTAGCTCAGAAAATCAATCTGTCCCAAAATGTCAATATGCCAAAGTTGAGAAATTCTCATCTAGATGCTTGGTCTCTGAATCTATTGTAATCCATATATTTTCTGAACTTCTGCCAAAAACATTGTTTTGATTGTGTACTATGAGAAATGACATAGTGTACCATATAAAACTACTTATTGAAGAGAGTCATCTTCCTCAAATACATATAAACTAACCAAAAATCATGGGAATAGCAAGTTCATGGTTTGAGTTTTAATCTCTGACCAAAGATGAAAGTTTAGTTTGCCAACCTTGTTCATTTAGAAAAAGTGCTTGAGGGCCAGGGATTTAGCTCAGTGGTTCTGCTGCCTGCCTCAAAAGCGCAAGGTCCCGAGTGTGATCCCCAGTACCAAAAAAGAAAAAAGAACAAGTGCTTGAGTGTAGTAAGCACCTAGGCACTTTTATGCATTTCAAGAGAATGACCTCATTGTCTGAGCTCTTTTAGAAAATTTAAAGTTCAGCTGTTTTTTTTTTTTTTGCAATTCAAACCCCTAGAAGCTGGAGAGACTAGGTGGATTTAAAGACATCTCAGAGTCAAAATATTATCAACTCAATGTGCATCCACTTAGCTATAAATGTCTCTAATTTCTCTTAAGTGAAATAAATAGGACACACATGAATAAATACCGAATAGTTTCTCTGGTGTGAGAAACTGAAAGTGTAAATAAGGACTAAATGTATAATAGGTCATGTGAAATAGGAAGAAAAGGGGCAAAGGAGAAGGAAGTGGGAGAGCTAGGGGAAAGGATAGAAGGGAATGGGATTAATATGAGAAAATTGAAAAATAGGAAGAAAAATCTTTGTAAATAGGGAGGAATGGAGGGGTTGAAGGGAGGGCTGGGCAAGGGTGAAAAATAAGAACCAAGAGAGACTATGTAAAGGTGCAAATTTCCAATGATGAATGTCATTATATTGTATACCTATAATGTACCAATGATTAGAATGAATAATCGATAATGTAAAATAGGAAGAAAAGGTCCAAAGGGGTAGGGGTAGTGGGAGGGGCAGGGGAAAGGAAAGAAGGGAAAGGAAAAAATGATGAGAAATGGAAAAAATGGGAATAAAGTCTTTGTAAATAGGGAAGGATGGAGGGTGTGAAGGGAGGGCTAGGAATGGGGAAAAAATAAGAACCAAGATGCATCATGTAAAGGTACAATTCCCAATGAGAAATGTAATTGTGTTGTATACCTACAATGTACCAATAAAGGAATTTAATTAAAAAATACTATCAACTTAATTCCATCTTTGTCATTGAGAAAGCCATACATGAGGATAGTGAGCAGACATGAGATCACGGTACTGTGGTCATGTAGAAATTTATAAAGTTGTAGCCAAACATCTCTTTTGTCTGTCAGAACTGAAAATTTTTCTAATGCTTATAATTTTTTTCCCTGAATAGGTATAGTAGAGTAACACATTTAGATCTTTTTATAGTTGAGTCTCTCCCAGTAGCTCACATGTCACACAGAATAACAATTCTAAGAATGCAGAAGTGCGTAGACCAGGGAAAAGAAAGGAAACTTGGAGATCATTCTGCCCACTGACTTTCTGCCTTTTTAACATTTGCTGAATTATTTGTTCAAATGAAATTTTACATGGAAATCCACTGTGTAAAATCAAAACAATCATTATGTGAAGCTGTGTTTGGGCAAGAATCGGGTACCAGATTGCCTTAGTAGGTCAGCACTGCATATCCACCCTCTAGCCCAACCCTCTCTGACCCAGCAGCCCATTCTATTTTTGGATAATTGCAACTGGTATAAAGTGTTTTCTTGTAAGAGCCTCTATTGTCCTTGATCTTCCTTTTTTGATGACAAGATAAAGAGACCAGCCTATACTGAAAATATCTTACTGGTAACTATGTTGGTAACTTGCATGCTATCTCATTTAATTCTCATGGGTTTCTGAGTAAAGATAAATAAATAAATACTATACTCTTCAGCCTTAAAAAAGAATGAAATTCTGTCATTGGCAACAACATAGATGAACCTGGAGGATATTATGCTATCTGAAATAAGCCAAATAAAGAAAGATAAACACCTCGTGATCTCACTTAGGAATCTAAAGAAAACTGTATTCATGAAGCAGAGAGTAGAATGGAGGCAGCCTGTGTTTGTAGGATGGGGAAATGGGGAGATGGTCAAAGGGTGAAAAGTTTCAGTTAGACGGGAAGAATAAGCCTGGAGGTCTGTTATGAAGCATGGTCACTACAGTTAATAACAATTTGCATATTTGCAAATTGCAGAAATTAAGTTTTAAGTGTTCTCACCATAAAAAGCACATGAATTTTCAGTTAGTTCAATTTATTCACTCCACAATGTATACAGGGGAAAAATATCATGTTGTACATAATAAATACATGTAATTTTTAATTTCCCAATTTTTTAAAAAGATAGAAACGGGAGTAATTTTTTGAGTCTGAATATTAACACCAAGTAGAGCCAAAATCCATCCATCCATCCATCCATATTTTTGATTCTCAAAGGCTATTTTATTATTCTATTTTACTATGCTATTCAGTTAAAGCCCCCTTCAAGATGATAAATCATCATCCTCAGACTGAACATCTACTGTTGCTTTCACATGATTTCAATAGCCTTTACTGTTAACACTATTTGTACAGATTTGTTATCGTTGTTCTTAAACCAAGAGATCTAGAACTCACCAGATAATTCTAGATTGGCTGTGGCCAGTGCAGAGACCAGACTGGTACTTTCCTTGTTCTAGGTTCTTCTCTGCTCTGAAGAAAGCTTTGCTAGCTTGCTTTGGTGGTGGTTACATCATCATAGGTTAGCTACGTTTAATTTGCTATGACCTAAATATTTTAGTGTATTTATTGCTGTAATCTTGTGTTCCTACTTCTCTCCTTTGGGAAGTTGACTTTTCTTAAACTTAAATGTAGGACTTTACATTTATCCCTGTGAAATTGTATATTGTTAGTTTTGGTCCTCTGGTGTAAGCTATCAAGATATTCTGAATCCTGTGTTTACCATTCAGCACATTAGTTATCCATAACATTGCAACCTCTGCAGATTTGGTTAGCCTCTCTTCTTTGTCATCGCTGTGGTCACTGATTAAAACAAGCAAGCCAGCCAGCAAGCAAACAAAGCTTAGGAGAAGGGCTGCTGCAAAGTCCTCCAGACAGGGTATAACATGAGGAAATTCCTTTCCAGAATGTCACATCTGTATCTATAAAATAATAAGACATAATTTTGGAGTTGAATTGGGTAGATTAGATTTTTTTCTCTGAAAAGCTTTATGTATAGATAAGCTTAAAGAAATTAAGACTTTTTGCCTGCTATCACAAAGCTAACTACAGACATAATTGGATTGATATCCCGGAGTCGCTGGTTGGTTGATGTTTTCTACATCATTAAATAGGATAATTAAATGGCAAAGAACACACCTTAAATAAGTTTTAAAACCTATTACTGATATAATGTTTAGTTTTCTGACAATTTGCCTTTTTATCCTAAAACATCAATACAAAAAGAAATCCCAATGAATTAAAGACTCTGGTTCTTATAAATTAGCTTCACTTTCACTGACTTTTGTAGATAAATCCAACCTGAAAAATGGTGCAATAAGTGTATTATTATTATTTTTCAAATATGAAAAATAGGGAATGTCAGTCCTATAAAGATAAGAAAAATTTTGGGCAAAGAGATATAGCTTTAGAAACAGCTAACAGCCCATGAAATAACAGTGTCTGTATATGGTATAAATGTACAGACATGTCAGTAGAGACAGGAGATGGCTTCCTTTTCCTTTGACAATATCCGCCTTCATGAAAAACCCGTGAACAATACAGAAGATAAAACCAGAGTGGATTTTATAAGGCTGCTCCTGGACTATCCTTGAACAAGGTGGGGAAGCCTGTGGACAACAGAGTTGGCCAATTCCAGGAGGTGTTGTCCAGAGGCCCAGGAAGCCAGGGAGTATCTTTCATCAAGTCTTTTCAAAGGAGAGGCGGCTATTGCCCCTGCACACTTTCATGACTGGTTTAGCCTCGGGAAGATATTTTCATCTGCTCTGAGGAATCACCCCACTTTATCACAAGTATTTTTTTAAATATAAAAATACACTTCACATGGTATAAATATACTTATTAGAGTTATGTGCAAACTATTCACATAACTGTATAACATTTATATTATGCAAAAATAGGTTAACTATTAAAAAATCTAAGTGCTATGCTAAACAATGAATCTGAATCTTAGAGGATTTTAGAGTTCATGGAAATGCCTCCTGTCTTTGTGACATAATATAACACTTTCTTGTTTTCTCTATGCTACTGAAGATGGAACCAGGACCTTGGGCATGCAAGGCAAGTGTTTTACCACTGAGCTGCACTCCCAGCCCAGAAGTAATGATTGTTGCACTAGTCTGATGAAGTAAATCAAGTGCAACTTCCAAGAATCAGCTTAAGTTCGGTCAGAGGTGAGTACTTCAGTCAGTTAGTTACCATGAGAATCCTAGGACTTGCTATTTTGGAAAAAGGTCTATTTTAAAGCAACTGAATGCATTTTAATTGGTATCTGTCACAACACAATTATTTCTGAGTGAAAGTAATCTTAAGTACCTAGATATCAAAATCCAAATTCTTTTGACCTTGTCTCTTATGAAGTGACTGTGTGCTCATGTTACTCCAATAATCTGCCATGGTCCTGACTGGCTATGATCTCAACCTAACTCCTTAGCACAGTATATAAGGTGTATCAGAGGCTGACTCTACTTACCTCTCTATCCTTGCCTTTTGCCTGGCCCACTCAATTTTAGGGCTGGCACATCTGTACTGTTCCACTGTATTTATCACACACAGTACATGAGAGACATAGTGTGCACTTGGGTCAGGCTGCCTGGATTAGACATCTACTTTTGACATTCACTTGCTATGTAAACTAGTAACTTCAGTAATCTTGGTATCTTTAACTAAAACACCTCCTTTGAGTGTTGCTGTGTGGATAAAATGAGATAATTCCTATAAAGTACTTAGAACTGGATCTAGAATAACATTAATATTCAATCAGATCTCAAATATGGCTATTGCTGCCTTGAATTGGTTTCAATTCTGACTCTCCATACCCTAGCCCACTCACCAACTAATGTGGTTACCACACCCGCTCTCCTTTGCCTCATGTCTGTTAATGTTCAGTGAATGATGGTTGTGTTGAGTTGACTTTCTCAGTATCACTCTCAGCATCAGAGTCAATGACACGCTACAGTTCCACTTGCCACATGAATCCTATTTAATTATATCAGAAGCACAGAAACTAAAGCAGTAAGTTTTCACAAAACTCATCTCCGAACATTTTTGTCAACACTATAATTATGAAATAGTATCTCATTTTATAAAAGTTTCTGCTATCATATTTAAGTTCTATTGTTGACAATATCTGAAAAATTGAGAAACCTCTTCAAGGCAATTTACTATAGTCATTATTAAAATACTTTAGCTTCAAAACTTCCTTGTGCAACTAAACTCCTTTTACTAAGCATATATTATTAGAAATTGTACATATCTGTTTATTCAATATAACAGTCAATATAGCATTTACTTTTAACTTTCAGTGTCTCACATTTCAAGATGGGCTGCCATTGGAAAATTAGAAAGACTCAATATTTAAGAGACGGGGTTGAAAAAAATTGATCCAGTTATCTATCGGATCCCTAATCAGGGTCTTTCATAATCAAAAAATTAATGTCCAAAGGGGCAGAGAAAACTTGGATTTAAGATCTGCAAGCCTCACTGTATCTCTCTATGTCTGTCAATATTTGAGGAGATTTGATCGGGTAGGTAGGGCACAGATAAAGTTGGTGTCAGGGGGATGGGTGACCAATTCATTCCATGCAGCAGCCTGTCCAGTGGCTGGTGCACAAGGGACAGAGTTCAGTCACATGGAAAAGGGTTAGGAGGATTTAGAAAGGCTGTCAGGCTCACAGGCATTAGTATTTAGGGCAGAGTTCAGGTCTTGGTGGCGTATGGAAATATAGCAAGAAAATTAACTCATTCCCTCCCCAGGGAAAGCCCATCAATCCTAGTGTCTAGAGTTGTACAACTATTTCCAGATACCTCCCATTGTAAGGGTATCCTAACTTAACCCGTGCCTTGGTCAGGACTAGAGATAGAAAACAGCAGTGACAAATGTGGATTGGACAGGTCAGGGGCACATTCCTTCACCAGATAAAGATGTGCATTAGAATGCTATCGAATGGGAATACAGAGATGAGCAAAACTTTCTCCACGGACTTCAATGTCTAGTGAATTTTAAATCCATAATACCTTATTATACAGGGTATGCAATCATTATATCTGTTATTTGAAACCAATTAAATTGCATTTATTTAAAGCTCAGTTCAGACTTGACACGCATCTTGAAACACAGATATTACAACAGCTTCATTTAGAAGAGGGACATACAGCTAATGACAGCTCCCCTATACTCACTTCTATACCCATCCTCTTGGAAAGAGCTTCAATAAAAACATTCTGAGACATTTCTCCCATGGTTCACACATGATCCGTCAGGCTCTAATGCAAGCAATTTTGCCATGGAAACATAATGTAGACACTGTAAGGCTAAGGTGTAAGGCCAAAAACAGAAATAGAGATTCCTGATAGATGTATCTGAAAAATACTGTGGATTTATTTTGAAACAGATTTGATAAACATACCTGGAAAAACTCTGATCTGAAGTTGAGGCAAAAGAAATGCTCTAAGCTCCAGGGATAGTGGGTCTGTCTAGCAGTCAATAGACAGCATACCAAAGCATATTTTCTTCACTGGCCAATTGTAAGATCACATCTCAAACTGTGTTTGTGTTACACATTGGCATGGCCTTTATGCTGCATGATGACCCTGGGTTTGAAGGTGACAATATTGACAGCATTATTAAAGCACCCACATGAGTGTTGCTGGAAAAGCTAACATGGGACTCTAGTGCCCCTGTTCATGAAAAATGAGAGTGGTCCTTGGGACCGTGGAGGCTGTGCCTGGTGACAAGGTAATGCGTTGTAGTGCAGATAAGCAGCCAGTTACAAGGACCTCGGCCTAGGTATTAAAGTTGCCTTTGCTAATGGCTCTGAAATGCCTACAATTCTTTATCACATAGAGTTTAAAGATTACTCTTTAAATTGAATCAATTATGGTAAAATAACCTAGTGATTTCAACATACAGTGTAGAGAAAATCATAAATCCCAGGTGTTTTCCGAGAGATATTTTTCCTAGGGAAAGATGTGGGATGATTGAGAGATGTTGGGTCCCTTGTTGTGGAGGATGATCTCAGGCAGAGGCTGGCTGGGTTGGTCCGAGCCAGCATGGGCTTCTGCACAGCTGAGCCCAGTTAGCCTGCAGCCAGAGGCAGACAACCAGGTATGTTCATGAAGAGCAGCTCTTTGCCAGCACCACACACAAAATACATCAGCTTCTTTCCTGTCTACCCCGTAACAGGAGCCCTGGTTTGGGGTACTGAACCGAAGTGGCATGGGGACATTCTGTAAACTAGGACTGGCTTTTGTCTTAGAAAAGCTGGGATCCAGGATGGAAGGCTGGAAAGATAGTCTATCATTGCCATATGTGAATTGGGGCTATTCATGGGTGGTCCCAGTCCTTCTATTTACTAATTAGCTGAGACAAAAACCTAGTCACCATGCTGCCAGCTTCTTTATAGGAGTGAGTCATTCAGTTACTGTGTAAACCCAGCCAATCTCCCAGATTCCACCCAGCACGTAGCTTTGCAGCTCTCAATGCATCCTGTTTGTATTTTATTGCATTTCACAAGTTAACTACATACTCTAAGCAATGATAAAATATTTGGGTTTTTTCAAGGTTTTGAGATATAGGTGTGAATGACCAGAGATTGCACTGGGGAGGGAGTTTAGTTCTTTTGGACTTTTCACTGCGCAGAGGCCTAAGCCATGTGAAACCACACAGCAGTGAGTGGACAGTCCCAGGGCCCTGCTTAGGCACAGGCAGGAGGGGTTTTGGGAAACAGTGTAAAAGGCAGGTTAGACACCCTGCTGTTACCCAGCCTCAGAACGGGTCCCCGACAGAATAGTACTGCTGTGTGACTACTGCCACTTCACTACTGGTGTAGGTTGAGCTGCATTCCAAGACCTCACTATGTTAGCAGTGAGTCAGGGCTAATGTTGATAACATTTAACTAAAAACGTGGAAACTTAGAAATGAAGGAACTGACAGTAAAAAAATCCACACACTAATTGGATTCCAGGTACTGATGATTCCATTTTCTCAACATCTCTGTACAGTCCATCTGTTTTTCTTTGTTTTTTGCTTTGCCACTCTTGTCACACTTAGATCATCTCTCTCTTGACCTATTGCAATCACTTTCTTCAACACTTATGCTCCTCAAATTCATTTTTATCCTATTACTAGTATTATTTCCAATGTGAAAATCTAACAATATTATTACTACTTAATACCCTTTGAAAACCTAAGAGGCTCATAATTGACTCAGGTTTCCTACTGTCTTTTCATATAACTATAAGCTCCTAAAGTTGGAAGCATACATTTAAAATTACTTCCTGAATACATAAAGGATAAAAGCTCACTAAAAGATTGTCTTATGTTGTTATCTGCAAAGGTCTACAATCATCTCTCTCATTGGCATCTCTTAGATTCACCTGACCTGTTGCAACTTGCAGAATGCCAATGTCAAGGCCAGTTTGTAATACTAGGAGGACAGAGATCACTGACATAGATGGACATGAGTCATAGCACCAGAAAAGACAAGATATCTTCTGTCTCTAGATGATGGTCAAGATAGCAGCAATATCCAACTCTGAGGCTTATCCTCTTATTCTCCATGACAAGACAAAGTCTCAAATTTTTCATTTTTGAAAATCTTTAACAGGGACACTATTTACTATTTATTGACGCATCTATGACTGTAACACACAAACTCTCAGGACACTGGAACGTCAACCATAATGAGGTAGGTGAGATAGTTAACTGTGATGTCAATTTGAATGAATTAAGAAACTCCTAGAGGATTAGTGGGGCACAGTTCTAGGTGTGTCTGTAGATGACTGACATGCAAGTCACAAACTGAGGAGGGAAGACTCACCCTGGAATTTGGTGGCACCAACCAAGAGACTTGTAGTTTCAGTGAAATAATAAAGAAGAAAGTCTTCCTGTTTGCTTCTTCAGAGGAACTCCAGTCTTTGCCATCACCTTTGGATGTTTGTCTTCAGTTCCTTCAGGTTTCTGGCACATACATTTTGGCTTTCCAGTGCAGACCCTTTGACTTTCAACAGATTCGCAGTAGACTCTGCAGTAAGCTCCAGGCCTTTGACTTTTGACTGGATCCTCTGATTGTCCAGCAGTATGCAGATGGCCATTTTCCATTCTTCCACCCCCAGGCAACCACTGTAAGCCTACTTGGCTGATTAAATCTGTTCTTCTAGTGAGTCCTGATACAGTAGGCTTTTTTTTTTTTTTTTTTTTTTGGTACCAGGGATCAAATTCGGGACCTTGCGCTTGTGAGGCAGGCATTGGAACCCCTGAGCTAAATCCCCGGCTCCCAGTAGGCTTTTTTTAAAACTAAAGTTTTCCTTCCATGCTGTTATTTCCTATCTATTACTCCCTATTTCCCAGCAATGAGAACAGAAGAATCTTCTTTCAAATAAGTGTTGTTAGTTTGCATAAGACTATAAAGAATGTTCAAAGATACACAGAGAACATTATTTTGGTAATCCTGCTTCCTTTAGAATATGGCAACTCATTCTTGAAAAAATTTTCTTCCCTGACCAGCATAAAACAATGCAACATTTTTTACAGATTTAATTTATAGAATGGTATGATGCTAGATATGAGCTTTTCCAGCAGGCCATGCCTATTACACATGCATATATAAATATGCATACACATATAATATTGTATATCTACATATACAGACAAATCTACATATATCATACATAAACACTATGCATGATATCACAAACACATAACATTTCATCATATGCTTGGCACTTTTGCCTGGCCTACCTATAACTTTGAGAAGGACTATTATTTTTGGATATGACAAGTATTTCCTCTTTCTTTTCTTCCTTTCCAAATACTACTGAATCTTTAGGGTCTAGCAAGTCTTTCTTTTTCCATGAAGCTTTTCTTTTTCTAAGCTTCCATGAAGCTATCTCCAGGCCATCATTTGACTCAGATCTATAGATTTAAATTTACTTCCAAGGGAAATCATTATAAATATAGACCCCATGTACCACGCACCCTGGCCAAATTAGTTATCTGCCATCCACAATCTAAGTGCTCAGTAATTATTTGCTGGATGTTAAATGCACAAAACAGAACCACTCATTGTCTAGCTGGTGCCATGAACATATAAATTCAGAAACCGAATGCACTGTTCTCTATGTTCCCTTCATGTCTCCACTTGCATACATCTGTTTATGCTGTTCCTTCAACATAACAGGTATTCTTGTTCTCAGTTTTCAAAAATCTTAACAAAGCATTCCAGCCCACACTGAAATGAACCTCCTTCATGAAGCTCTCTAATTCATGACAAAGTGATCTTTTATTCCTACTCCTATAAAGTTCAGGCCATTTCAGTCATTTATATATATGTACTGCCATATATTATAATTCTTGGTGTATATACCTGATTTCTTAACTTATGATACATCTCTGGAGAGAAAAAACATGCCTCTAAGTTCAAGCTTTGAAAATAGAAAACTTAAAAAAAAATCTGCAGTGAACTTGTTGAATTAACTATTTCATTTTATCTTGATTTCCTTTGGTTGGAGCATCTTGACTATGTATCTTCATCACACAATCTAGACTTTAAAGCTATAAGTCTTTAATTAATTTCTAGAAGTTCCTAATGTCCCAGCTAAACTGAGCTTCTTCAGAGCAGGAGTTTGCCTACTTATATTTTAGATTGTTGGGGCTCAAGGGGAGACTTACTTTTGGACTGATTGATGTAGTAATGATGTAAACTTAATTTGTAACAGGCACTCATTGGAAGAATGCTTATATCCATCAGATCTTTGTGCACATTTTTCATTAGCAATATTATAGGAGCAGCAATTCTGGTGCAACCAGTTGATAGATTAACCAAGTAAAGTTCCCTTGAAAATGAAGCATTTTTCATCATTCTTGATTTTGGAATATGAAGTTCTCCATGACTATGAAACCCGCTCTGAGAAGCAGATATAGAGCCTCATATTAAGGATGAGTAACAAAGAGAAAATATTTACTACAATACTTCAGCTAATATAATGGTGGCACTGTTCAATATTTAGTTATTAAATTTCTTACAGGGCAATTAGACTAAATAAGAAAACATCCTCTTAGGCCTAATATAATTCTAATTGCTCATCTGCTTATACAAGCAAAGGCTCAAGGGCCAATCATTCCCAGGCACACAGATCTGTCATCTTCTACTGGCTCCTCAGCAACTTTTCTCCAGGGGAGCCCTTCATGATCACTTAATAGTGGTACATCTTTCAGTAACCAAGTAGAATTCAAGTAAATGCCTTATGAAATAATAGTAGTGAAAATAGAAATAAAATGATATGATCCAGACTTGGCAGAAAAAGAAACACATGGCCCATGAATATCATCTGAGATCATGATTTATGTCATATCATGTGTTAACTTTGGCTGAACTACTATAGAAGTGGCCAGAACTGGAAAATAAACACACACAACCTAGCATGCATGCACATGCTTGAACGTGCTCACTTACACCTTCTTATGCAAATACTATGCCCTTCTTTAATCTCTGGGCATTTAAAGGAAGTATTTTGGAGCACTCACATATTTTGGTAAAATTTTGGTTAGCCCAACAAGGGGGAAAAAAGAGGAAACCTTTTTCTTTTTGCTGAATTACTTTCTATATATAAGTATTGGTAAAATATACTTGTGTTGTTATAAACCATTTTCATATATTCTATTTTCTCCTGACAACAAAAAAGGCAAGCAAAAACTACTAGGAGCAAACCAAAAAGCAAATATTAAAACCAGTTAATGAAAGAAATAAAATAACTTTGTGAAGATATCTGCACTCCCACGTTCACTGCAGCATTATTTACAATAGTCAAGATATGAAACAACCTAGGTGGCCATCAATGGATAAATAGATAAAAAAACTAGGTGTCCACCAACAGATGAGTTTAAAAGAAACTACATAGATGAACTATTATTCACTCTAAAGAAGAGATCCTGCCATTTGTCACAACATAGATGGGCCTAGAGATAGTGAGGCTGTGTGAAATAAATGACACAGAGAAAGAAAATACTACTGATTTCTATGTGGAATGTAAAAAAATAAATGAATATACAGAGAGAGAGCGAGAGAGAGAGAGCGCAGAGGTTACTGGCATTGGGATGGGGGAAGACCAGAGGGAAATTTAGGCCAAAGGATGCAAAGTAGCAAATACGTAAGATGAACATATAGTGATTTAAAGTACACCATCAGGATTATAGTTAATAGTGGTTTATCACATTTAGGATTTTTGCTAAATGAGTAGATTTCCCAGGGGTGGTGTAGCTATATGACATGATAACTATGTCAATTTATCCTATCATAATATATAATGATTTTACTATATACATGTATCTTATAGCATTTGGGTATATCTTAAATATATACAACAAATTTTTTTTTTTTTTTAGAAAAACAGCCAATGATATATTTTCTTGCATTCCCCTTATGAAGTCATATTTCTGCTAATGAAGTAACTGAAATAGACACTCTCTGCAGATTCTCTGGGTCTGAAATGTAGTTTGAGCTCTAATTTCAGGACACATTTTTAAATTTCCTTAAAGATTCTTATGCCATACTTGTCATTTCACAGGTCTTTGAAATTTCTCAAGCCTTGCCCTGTAGAGTAAAAGTCATCTTAGTGAAGATGGGGAGATTAAGCCACCATGACTTTGGAACAGCAGAGAATCTCAGCTGTAATTCTTTGGCTCAGAACCAGAGTCTAAAACAAGGCATGGGAAAAGCTGCTGAAATGAAGCCTGCAATTCTCTCCATGTTTGACTTGCATAATGTTGACATTATACACCAGAGAGACCCAAAACTATTTCAAACAATTCTGACTTCTTTTCTATAAATATTTTGAATTGCTTTAAGAGATAAAATAACACATTTTACCCCTTTTGTTTTCTAAATCACTCTGCAGCTCCTCAGCAGCTCACTACTATGGTATGCATGTATTTTTGGCTAGAGGTCAGGGAGGACATCTTAAGGCATTAAGTCTGCTGTTAAAAGTGTTTTCTGTAACAGTTGGGTGGTGGATAAGGGAGTCAGCTACTCTAAAAGCAAAACTGAATTCCATGTCATAGCATGTTCCTGTCTTCAACTGAAGCTCAGGCAAGTAGAATAATAAAAGATTTTTTTCTGGACAGAAAAATGATTCTTCCATGTTCCTTTCATTGTTCTTCCTGGATTCTGTTGTTTCTGCTATGTAAGTTTAAAAATATGGAGACTTCTGTACCAGAAGAAGAGTATTAAAAAGAAAGGAAAATTATAGAGATAGCTAAAGAATCTCATGACTTTTGGGGACATGATTCAACTATTTCAGGTGTCTCTTCCCTCAGAGTCAGCCAAATGGCAATCACTCAGAGAGTAAGAGGTGCAATTCATTTGAAACCTGCAATTTCCTCTCTCAGAGAATATGATTAAGCAGGCTGAATTCTAAGCCTTGGAAAAAGACCATGATATCCTTAGTCACAGATGAGCTGGATGATCAGTAAGTTAATAACCCTTCAGTGCAATTTCAAAAGCTTTCCCAGAGCTGAGGACCAAGGACTTGGCTTGCTTTCAAAAAAAATTCCCTCAGCATGCTACATGGCATTTATTTTTGATGTGAAAACACTGGATGCCAAAACTGACTACTGTATTCTTCCTAAAACATGCACAAAAAGTCCTTACTTTATGAGTTTAAAGCTGTTTCGCATTTGCTGCTACCTAAAACTTTCATTGTTTAATTAAATAACAAAATAATTTTCCTTAACCAAGTTCAGTGTTTTTTCATAACACTAGGGTGGGAATAGAAAAGCAAAACTCACCCTCTCTCCCAGCAAAAGCATTGCTTGCACCTGCCAGTGCCAAGGTCAATAGCAACTGCCAAAGATCCATACCTGTGGGACCTGCAATTACAAAAAGAATAAGATGAAGTCAACCAATGAAGAGCAATGCACAATCATTCAATAGTGTTTAGACTGGCTAAACCACGAACGCATTAGCATGCTAGGTCTAGAAGGAATCCTAGTAAGTTGTTCATTGACCCAGAGTTTCATGTGGTTATACTCCTCATGAGCACAAACAGCAGGTTATAAGAAATTCTACTTCCCATGGCTACTTTCCTGAGGAAATAGCATCGACAATAGAGATTTTCATATCCTGGCTGGCAGCCAGAGAACCATCTCATAGCAAATGACTCCCTCACACTGCTTCAATAACAGGGCCAATGTGGCTTGCTTTAATTTGATCAGGAAATAGAAAAAAATGGTTCAGTGGTATTCACCAAGCATGAGGCTTCAAGCTGTACAGGCTCTAAAAGGGAAAACAAAGTAATAGTAACACGTCTAAATCTGTTTTCTACGGATCAAGTGAGTTCATTTAACACTGGAAACACTGTGCTATGAGCTTTATCAAGGAGGGGTAAGTAGAAGGGAAGCAGGGAAAAGGTGAGAAGCAAAAATAAATAAATAAATAAATGAATAAATAAATAAATGTATGTATGTCACTGGGACTTTTCAGGTTGTAAAAAATTTTATGAGGACTATGGGCTTTGAAAGTCCTAGGAATGTGAATACTTCAGACACCAAGAGGGATTAGTTATGGCCTTGCTATTAATTTGGAATCCCAAGTGTGGCTGGACTTTGAGCCCTTCAGCCTTGGTCAGTACACACCCTTATCTGAAGAAGATAAGTTTCTCTGGAAAGAATAAGCCATGACACCTATGTCCCAGAATCTCTTAGAGAAAAATTTGAGCTGGCTGAAAAATGAACTCAGCACGCTGCCCTTTGTAGAGCTGTTGCAGTATCTGATAACCAATGCCAAAGCTAAGCTGCTGTACTTCCATAAAACTGCACTATTTATAAGTCACCTAGGCATACCTAATCATCCTACCACCATCCAGGGGCTCTATTGGGTTCATTTTTATTAGCAAACTTGACACAAATAAAATAGTCCTTGTTATTCCTAATTAGGTTGAAATGATAAATAAGAATGTTTTTATGGGTTTACAGTGATGGTCCTCTGAAAATGGCTGTGTAATTCTGAATAGGTATAAAATATTTAATGTTCTATACTTTAATTTCTAGACAGCAGACAACTTATTAATACTTTTGTTCCATATAATTTTGTGTTCTTAAAATATTCTTACTTAAGACAACATATCTCTGTATGAAGCAAATATCTTCTTGCATCTGAACGCCCATGCACATACCCACATGTGTGAGACCCCCTTAAGCAATCCTTCTTGGAACCACTGGTAGAAATCAAGTGTGAAAGTGCAAATGAATGCACCTTGTCAACTGGGGGATTTCAACAAATGTGAGTTGCAGTTATTACGACATCTATGTTTTTAATTGTTAACCTGAAAGCCCCTGGACTGATGGCCTTGCATCATCATCTACTTTGCAAATGTGAACCACTGAGCCTTTGTTCTTATGTCTTTATTTCTGGGCTACAGGCTATGTAATAATAGTTTGAAACTTTGTTCATTCACTGGCATATGCTATCTTGACATTTGGCTCTAGCAGTGAATATGCAATTCTCAGACAAGCTTGCCAACTGAGTAAGTATATGAAAATGTTTGCATTGCACAAAAGAGTGCTTTCATTGGTTTAGAAGTCACCTCTTCAGACATGTCAAAGAAACCTGGCAGATGCTAGAGAGAAGTGATTAGTGCTTCTGAAGAAAAGCAAGTGAACCCCTCAAGTCCCCAAACTTTTGAAAGTTGTAGCTTGCAAATGAACTTCACTTCTCCCAAATACAGAACAGAAAATTACCACTGTTACTTTACAAGGCAAACATAACTTCACACAACACATTCTATCTCACAAAAAAAGCAAACTAAAGCAAAATTAATCAGAAATTTATTTGCTCACTCCCATAGCAGAAAATGAAAAATTCCTAAAAATTACCATTCTCTCAAATGGATATGAGATAGTTCACTGCCACCTGGATCACTGCAGCATGCAACTAATTCTGGGGCAGGGGGAGACCAGGAAGAGGATAAAGTAATGTAGTTGGATTCTTTAGGAGCTAATGGCTTTCCTAGAATCTAATCTCCCCTTTCCTTCCACTGATGTTGGTCCAGTGGGTATGACTCCAAAAGAAGCTCCCTTTACATTCATTTGGAGAACTGTCTCTAGTGCCATTGTATGACCTAGGCTAAAATATATTCTATTCAATTTCATTGTACACTGCCTCCATCAGCTTTACACAAAGCAGGCAGCTTTTGAATGAGAAGATCCTTCTTATTAAGTTCTAGATAAATAGAATGCCCTTAGATAAGGACAGAGTGCCAACACACAGCTTAGAACTTTAATATGACCTTATCAATGAAGTGCCAGATGTGAGAAAGAGATTCTCCTTCTCCAAGCCCTTTTTGCCCACATACCCAAATTTCATGTATGTTCATTAGCTATAAGGTGCTAGAGTCCACCCAAAGTACTATCATAAGAGACTACTTGCAATGTAAGTCGAGGCAGACTCTCTTCAGAATAAACTACCAGATTATACCTTATCTTCCTGAGATTTTAGACTTTCAATATTTTCCTAGGGAACATCCTTCTCTAACTGTCTTAGGATATTTACCCAGTGTTTGGCTACAGCCTCCTGGCAAGCTTTTCAGCAGGAAGGGACAAAGGAGCTTCTTTTTGCATAATGGAACTCATACCATTTCCATTTTCAATGCCTGAGGCATTTTGCCTGCTTCCCCATTTCTCAAGGGAGAGATAGTTTAAAACCAGTGTAATCCACTTGGCATGAGTTTTAATTCTGTAGATTGTCCAACAGAGGAGGCCTTCAAATTACATAATTAGGTCTATGATATACTGACTTTCATTCCATGGCTATAAAGCAGACCATAAACACATGAGAAGAGATGGAGGTTAGATATGGCAATTTTTTCCCAACGTGTTATAACCAACTCCAGGCAAACAAAGAAATTGGTTCAATTCTTTTTAATTTCAAATTAGCAGGCACTTCTCAAACTATTAGTTCCTGCTAGCATTGTGCAAGGCACTATGGAGATGAATAATAAAGCAATCAAAATCATGGATCTTGACTTTAAGAATTAGACAGTAAAAGGATTTGAAACTGTGAAAAGAGAAACATATCTAAAAATGGAAAGTAAAAGCAGGGAATAATCAGCTAATGAATAAGGGATTTAGATAGAACTAAATGACAGATAAGTTTGTGATGGGTAAGGAAAAAAGAGAAGGGCAGTGAAAATCTTCCAGAGGCAGAAGCTCAATACAAAAGTCCTAGTGTGGGGATGAATCCCAAGCATATTTATGCCATATTCTGAGGAGTCTATCTAACGAGTAGAGAAAAAGGTTCAGAATTATGAATAAAGGTGACAAAATTGGATTGACAAGGTAGAACCAAACTGAAACAGCATTATTAACTCATGTTAATCAGAAATAGAGTGAGGAGATTGGACTAGATAATGTACAAAAATGGATTTTTCTTAGGATAAAGCTCTTCTGTTTTTTAAATTTAATTTTATTGGGACATATTGTAAAGATTTAGTCATGACTGGATATACAAGATCCTAAGGAAAGGCATACATATCACAAATGACTGATTATTCGTTATACCTGAAAGGTAGTGCTGTTGGCTGAAATCAGGACCTTGGGATCTAGTTGTTTAGGGGGAGAAGGTCATATGACTGTTTTGGACTCTTGCCTCTTAGTATATGTGCTGCCAAAGCGAGAACAGGACTCTTGCCTCTGGAAGGCATTTATACAACTTTTGGAAATGTCAGAAATGTCTAGGGGGAAGCTGAAGGTATGAGAACAAAGATTTTAAAAAGTGAGAAGTGAATCTAAGAGATAGTTACATTCAAATTACTTTAGGTGAATTTAATATGAAGATTAGATTATTTTGTGAAAAATCCTCACACCATCTTCTAAAAGCTATATTAAGCATATAGGGGAAATGTGTTTATCTAGTTGGTAATTTGGCAAGTACAAAATGAACCACCACGCAAAACCACCCTCACCTCTGATTTGTATTAAAAGGAAATTGGTCAAAAGCATCTTTAGAGGTGTGCTGTAAGCATATTAATATATGGGAGGAATTAAATGATAGATTTAGGAGCCTAGAGTCCCATTAATGCAGTCCAAAAGAACACCAAAATGGTGGTTGAATTAATAAAAAATACTGAGTTCCTCAAATTGTTTTGCTGATCTAGCTTCTCTGATACTGAAAAAGCAAGAGCTAACTTTAAAAATTCCAGCAGAATCAGAATTGTTTATATTGCAACACCAAGACTTCAGGTAGGTAACCCAATAAATGTGTACTTTCTGATGCTTGTGTTGATTACTAATGAAATATTGCAAAACGGAATTAATTGAGAAAGCTTCCTGGTGAAGTTTTTCTAAGAACTCAGTGCAGAAAAAGGATGAGACTAATCCAAAATGGTAACTGAAATTACCCATTCAAATTAACACCACACATTTATTTGAGTAGTTTGCATCTATAGTTATTTCATGTTATTATCTGCTTTTTATAGTGGTGATCATTTGAAAACTACTCAGATCCAAAATGCATTAGGTCAATTTATCTGCTTCCCATTAGTGATAAAGGAAGGTTCACAAAGCTTTTTTTTAAAAAATGTAATTATAGTCAGGCATTGCTTAACAATGGGGACAAATTCTGAGAAATGCATAGCTGGGCAATTTTTTCAGGTGAGCATTATAAAGTATACTTATATACTTGGACTATACAGTGAATGTACATGTGAGTGTGTGTATGTGATATGATCCCTAGGCTATTCATGGCCTAGGGGCTATATGTGGCCTAGGTATGTGTACACACACACACATACACACACACACACCGACACACACACAGACACTGTATAGCCTAGGTCATGATGAACAAAACTATAGATATTAAATCAAGTACA